TCTTTCTAGGTAGTGAGAACACTGCAAAAAAATTAAATCCACATACCAATCACATTTTATATTTTGGATATCCAACTACTACTATTTTGGCCTCTAAAGTTAAGTATATAAAGTCACAAAGCATGTATCTTCTAGAGACCCCACGCCAATGTTAAACTTTTAAACCAAATTAGCGTCACCTTGTGTTTGGAGCTGGAACTAAAATGACAATTGACAGATGGCGGTAAATTCAAATTGTAATTTTTAGGAGTAGGTAGTAGTTCTAAATTAAATTTTAAATGATTTCCACATAAATTATTTTATAAAATAAAGTATGGAACTAGTAAGTTCGAAACTTTTATTTTACAAAATAATTTAGGTCGATTATACCAAATTTGAAGAATTAATTTGTTATAAGGGGTCTAATGTGGAGAGTTGGTTCTGCATATTTTTATTAAATAAATATAAGATATATCAATAAATAATAAAATAGAACATTCTTAAAATATGTTTATTAATAACTTAAATAAATATTATTAGATAAAAATAAATACAAATAATAATACATATTTAACGAATACTTACTTGGAGCAAATAGATATATAATCTCAAATCTTTAAAATACCTATCAATAATTTAAATGTGAAGTAGAGACTAGGATATTACATTTTATTAACACTAAAGTTATATATTTTATAAATGTCTTTTTAACTGAGGACAAATGTAATATAGGTATTGTATTAAAAGGTGAATCCTTTTAACTATTCATTCAATTCCTTCCAAATACAGATGGTGATACAGATTTCGGAATCTAGTCCAGTGATAAATTGATTATCAATTAGTTGTTGTCCCCGTTTGTATTTTTATGATACAGATGCATGGTGAATAAATGAAGTTTTTCTCGAAGTTTTCAACGTAGCACCAAAATTATTGCAAAACACAGTAGGAAATAAAAAACCGAAACATCACAATTTTGCAAATAACTAAGACGAAACTATAAACAGAAACCAAAAGCCAAAGCCAAGAAAAAATTACTAAAATCAGACGGAAAAATGAAACTAACCAAGAACATAAATAAATACACGTCACATCTTTGGAGTCTTTGGTTAGTTTTTCTCCCATAAGGCTTAAAAATGGAGTAAGAAATCATAATTTCACCAGTAGCCCCATCTAGAGTTTGGAGCAAATAGCATAAAAAATGTCAGTTGTCGGTTTTGACCTTGGTCATTCACGTGGAACCTCTATGTGCTTTGTGTATAAAGTGTTGCATACCGATTAGAATTCTCAAATCTCAGGTATAGGTTCTTCCATATACCATTTTTGATTTTTTTGAAATCAAATTCAAAGACCCCAAATTGGCCGCGTTTCTAATTTCTGGGGGCGTGTCCGTAATGAAATCTTCGTCACTACTCATTTTTTTTACACCAATTTGTAATAAACTAGTGCCGCGTTTGAGAATCCACATCGGATGCATCTGAGATGTAAAAAATCTTTGATCACGTGATAAATGTAATGGGATGGATGTGTCCGATGTGGATAAAAAAACGCTCGAGATGTAAAAAATGCATCCGATGTGGATTCTCAAACGCAGCATAGGTAGGTAATTAAATTAATTTTCCATTGTATAAAGACTAGAGAGAAGGAGGCGAATCGGCAATGGTCAAATTTCCGTCCTTCTTACCTATAATTTGTTTCAGATTAGTGCGTTTAAAGGATTTGGTGAAAATGAAGCGATTCGCTAGCTTTGGGGATGTGCCAGTAAAAGTGACATCGAAGTTATTCAACGTTTCCAGAATAAAGTATTAAGGGGCCTATTCAGTAACTCTGAACGACGTCGTTAATAGACGATAATCGTTCACAGACGACTTTTCTTATTCAGTAGACAACGATTGTCGTTGAAAATAGACAAATATGGTTGTAAAATTGTCGTTCATCAACGATAGCCAAAGAGCTGTCGTTAATAATATGAAGTGTCGTTATAGTGATTTTTGCATTCCCTCTCATTTTTCATTGTGAATCAGGATGTGTTCTAAATAATAAAAGCACTTTTTTACAAATTTTACAACTAAATTGCCATCTACCTAATACAGCAAGTACAATTTGTATGGAATTTTTTTCTAATTTATTTAATTATTTTAAAAATAAATCTTCTGATTCAAAGTTAGGATTGCCTATTCAACCATTTACTATTGGATTCTTATTAACAGTGCTGTTCCTAAAGTAGCACTGCGAAACAGTAACAAAACCTATATTATGAAAGTACCTATAATACTTCTCCGTAACCTACACAAATTTGGTTTGTCTTTCAAATCCAATAAATACAACTTGTACTGTTCTCGAGTTGTTTTTTGTATTCTTTTGGAATATTTCTCAGTTTTTTTTAATATATCCATACTCATTTAAATAAACCCTACATACAATACGACCAGCAAAAATGGCCCGCGAGAAACAGAATTCCTACGAATCGAGAATCGACCCCCTGATCGTGTTGTAGGTTAAGAACAATAATTAATATATTCTGAAAAACAAATTAATATATCTACTGGTAGAATTTTTATTTCACGTTCCAAAAAAATCTCAAATATACCGAGTGTTTAAATTAAAGGGTTACAGTTAAATACCTCCTTTTATAAAAAAAAACAAAGTTTTATAGTTTTTTTGGGTGTTACTCAATAAGTAGAAATCCAATAAAAAAATGTTTCCTTTAGAAGTTTCTTATTATTTTATGAAAAAATTGGGTTCCAATTAAAAAAAAAAAAAAATCCACCTCGATATGGCCATATTATGGTCAGCTATAAAAAAATTAATTTAGCCAAAATGTTTCCCCTAAAAAACTATAAAACTTTTGTCTGATACTTTTTTTTATAAAATGAATATTTTCGGCGATATTTAACTGTAAAACTTTAATTTAAACACCCGGTACAATCATCAACATACGTTCTTTTATCACAAAACACTAAATTATAATACCAACTTACTAGAAATCATCGTTCAGATTTGGTAACTAGAAACAACGTAACGACTTTGTTATTGAATAGAGTTTCAAAAATTATCGTTATAAAAGTCGTTGGTTGAACTGTCGTTAGCTTAACGATGTCGTCCATAAACGATAAATTACTGAATAGGGCCCTAAGATACATCGTCGATGCACCACAATACTCATCTTGATATGGACCTTAAAGTTGAAACTGTTGAAAATACAATACAAAAATTTGCAGGTAGTCACAGTCACCAACAACGACTGCTCCAACATGGAAACCTCGAGATTATCCAACTCCTCAACAATGCCAATCTAATATTCAGTAATTTATCGTTTATGGACGACATCGTTAAGCTAACGACAGTTCAACCAACGACTTTTATAACGATAATTTTTGAAACTCTATTCAATAACAAAGTCGTTACGTTGTTTCTAGTTACCAAATCTGAACGATGATTTCTAGTAAGTTGGTATTATAATTTAGTGTTTTGTGATAAAAGAACGTATGTTGATGATTATAGCGGGCGTTTAAATTAAAGTTTTACAGTTAAATATCGCCAAAAATATGCATTTTATAAAAAAAAGCATCAGACAAAAGTTTTATAGTTTTTTAGGGGAAACATTTTGGCTAAATTATTTTTTTTATAGCTGACCATAATATGGCCATATCGAGGTGGATTTTTTTTCAAATTGGAACCCTATTTTTTTACATAGGTATTCTTAGAGTTCATAAAAAAACCAGAAACTTCTAAAGGAATCATTTTTTTATTGGATTTCTACTTATTGAGTAACATCTACTTGAAAATTTTGCTGCGCGAAAAAAAGTTGGCCATATTATGGTTTGCTATAAAAAAACAATTTTAGCTAAAATGTTTTACCCAAAAAATTATTAAACTTTGATTTTTTTATAAAAGGCGGTATTTAACTGTAACCCTTTAATTTGAACACCCGGTATATTTGTCATTTTTTTTGAACGTAAAATAAAAATTCTACCACGCACGATCAGGGGGCGATTCTCGATTCGTAGGAATTCTGTTTCTCGCGGGCCATTTTTGCTGGTCATATTGTATGTAGGGTTTATTTAAATGAGTATGGATATATTAAAAAAAACAAAAAACAACTCGAGAACAGTACAAGTTGTATTTATTGGATTTGAAAAACAAACCAAATTTGTGTAGGTTACGGAGAAGTATTATAGGTACTTCCATAATATAGGTTTTGTTACAGTTTCGCAGTGCTACTTTAGGAACATCACTGTTAATAAGAATCCAATAGTAAATGATTGAATGGGCAATCCTAACTTTGAATCAGATTTATTTTTAAAATTAAATAAATTAGAAAAAAATTCCTTACAAATTTTACTTGCTGTATTAGGTATATGGCAATTTAGTTGTAAAATTTGTAAAAAAGTGTTTTTATTATTTAGAACATATCCTGATTCACAATAAAAAATGAGAGGGAATGCAAAAATCACTATAACGACACTTCATATTATTAACGACAGCTCTTTGGCTATCGTTGATGAACGACAATTTTACAACCATGTTTGTCTATTTTCAACGACAATCGTTGTCTACTGAATAAGAAAAGTCGTCTGTGAACGATTATCGTCTATTAACGACGTCGTTCAGAGTTACTGAATAGGCCTCTAATAAGAAGATTCAAGTTTTGGGCCCGTATTTATAAACAAAACTCAGCTGAGTCGGACTTGGGTAAGTCGTCCTTGAACTAAAATCGAAGTTCGGTTATATCGCGTGAATTTAGAGATGGGTAGTAACAAATCTGTAAATGTACATACAGTTACATATTTGCTAATATCCATCTGTAAATTCCAGTCAAACACCAGAACCACCTAGAACTTTAGAGACGTTGTAACCGAACTTCGATTTTAGTTCAAGGACGACTTACCCAAGTCCGACTCACGTAAGTTCTGTTTATAAATACGGGCCTTGTTTTTATAAATACGGACCCTAGGAACGGTTTGCTGCAAGCGTTGAATAGGAACTCACCTGTAAGTTAACGGAAAAGAAGATATTTAAAAATGATAGAACGAATGTCACTGTCACATGTCAACTATTCTTACTTTTTATCTCAACTTCCACTTGTAAGTTGTGAACTTGTGAAAACTTGTGATAAACATGTGTGAGATTCCTTTATGGAGATTCCGAGATAAGAACAGATTATAAAGTCAACATTATCATAAAATGGTAAAGAAATTGGTGGTTATAACCAATAAATTATAATTGTTATTTTTAGGATGAGACTGAAGACCTGGACTTGGAGGACATAGAAGCCAGGTTGTATAGTCAAGTATATCACGGTAGTGCAGAATCTGAAGAGACGGCAGATAATACAATATTCGACGAATCGTCGACTAATTGTAAAAAAAAATATCGCTACTTTGACCAAAAATTAAACAAATCGGACCCAGTTTTAACACAAGTTGTGACTCTTAATGAGCAACAAAGAGAAAATACAGATAACGTAAAAGAGAGTTCATATAATTTTGTTCAAGAAAATACTTACAATATCAACAATCCTTTGTCTATGGAAACTATTTCTTCTCCATCAAACACAGCTACAATTTCTACTACTGGCAGTCAAGACCTAACCTATAATATTACTGTTAATCAGTATTCACTTCCCTTAATAAATCCTAATGATCTGTCTCCTGCTGATCAAAATAACATAAATAGTTTGCTAACCTTTTTACCTACAGCTTTGGACAACCCAAAAGTTGGTCAAAGGAAAAAAAGAAGTAGAAAAAAAAAGAATACCAATATTAAAAGGGTTCTGAAAGATTTAACTAAGGTAACTATTTGCTTCTTTGGTAAAATACAAGTATATTTTTAGAATAACATAAAATTAACCATACCTTGGAAGTTATGGTTTTGATTTAGCATTTTTACTTGCCAATATTCTTTAATAATTATAACTATTCTCATGAATATAGTCCATTCATTTAGTTTATACTGAAATTCAATGAATTACTGAAATATGCTGGGATTTAGTTTTTCTTGTCTTTTTACATAAGTCAAAATAAGACAGATGACAGTACTCTGCCTGTTTTTGATGATACCTATATAGGTTTCATCACTTTCTAACATATTTTAAAAAACATGACAAATACCATAAGAGAGAGTCCTAGATTGATATTAACTATTTTCACAGAGCCGATCCCGAACGTATTCTGAATGGTAAAGTAAAGCATTCACTCCTACACAAACATTTAAACAATACAAATCCAGTTATAATATGCAGTGTAATTTTTAAATTAGTATTCAGAATCAGTTCAGGATTGTTATAGTGAATGAAGCTATTGAGAACATGATAGTCAGCTTCTTTTTATTTTTTGTGGTCTTCACATAGATCCAGAATAAATCGCACGTTTTAAGCCTGTATTTATAAACAGATCTCAGCTGAGTCAGACTTGGGTGAGTAGTTGTCCTTGAACAAAAATCAAAGTTCGGTTACAAATTCTCTAAAGTTCCAGGTGGTTCTGGTGTTACACAGGAATTTAGAAATGGATAGCAAATGTTAAGTAAATTTACATTGATTTTTTGACATTTTAGGAAAAAGTCTAATTTACTATTGTACTCCCAACATCAATCTAGCCTCTTCAAGGGTACCGTTCAAATCCAGTCTTAAACTATAGATTTAGCTTACTACCTTACTGGCGATAAAGCACCCCACACGTTTTACATTGATTTTGGGTACTTTCAGAATTTGTTCAATTTTTAGTATGTTATTTTTCAGGTCTTTAAAGGCAACTTTCTTATGGACCTCTATATAACCACCTCTACAGGGTGAACTGTTTGAAGTATTCAAAAGTAAAGAGGGCAGAATTAATATTTTCAATATCTACCACTCTTAAGTAATTCTTGTCTTTCCTTGAAACTTGTCATGTGTTACACTTATATATATTTTGTTCATGCTTACTTACATTTTACAAAATAAATCATACAGCGTGTTCAAAAAATTATGAACATCAGTTACTGAAATATGGTCTGAGAGTAGTAGAAGATAGTGAGTGCAGATTCTGTGAGGAGGATGATGAAACCTCCATTCACATTCTAACTGAATGTGTAGCACTTTAGAATCAAAGGGCACTATACCTAGGAGTATATCAAATAGAAGAGGAAGATTTACCTTTACTTTACCTTGAAGCCACTCCAAATCCTACACTTGGAACTATTTAAATTCTGAAAAATGGCTAGAAGTTTATGATGCATATTTGGCGAAAGATAAATATAATGCTTTTATTACAATCTTCGGTTCATATTGCAATATATGTTTTAAATCCAAACCTCAAATGCAGAATAAAAGACAGGGCTCTTATTGGGTTTCTCCCACAATTACTGAGGCAAAAAATAGACTGCTGTTTTTGCATGAATGGCAAAAACAGCATCCTAGTACTCAAAATATTCAATTATATAAAGATTATAAATTAACATATTTAAAAATTTTGGGAGCAGCGAAACATGATTTTTGCAATAATTATATATTAAATTCTGATAATAAGGTAAAGACTTTGTGGAATATTATTAACAAAGAAATTGGTCAAAATAAAACAAATACCAAGCCAGAAAATTTAACTCCTGAAGATCTTAATAATGAGGAAATCATAATTCAGAATTTAGAGAAACCACATATACCTGCTACTTCCTTTATAAATATACCACAATTAAAAAATTCAATGTTTTTCAGCCAGTTACCCAAACCAATATAGAATCAATTGTAAAAGATTTAAAAAATAAAAGAACAGGATATTGATGGATTTTATGTATTTATAATGAAAAAATGTATTTCTTTTTTGTCTAAACCTTTAACTATAATTATAAATGCTTGTCTAACTGAAGGAATATTTCCTGATAGCACGAAAATTGCTAAGGTCTGTCCTCTATTTAAAAAAGGAGACCCTTCTCAGCCTTGCAACTTCAGACAAATTGCTGTACTTCCCATATTCTCCAAAATCTTGGAAAAAATTATGTATAATAATCTAATATATTTAAATTCTTCCAACATACTCACGCCATTCCAGTATGGTTTTAGAAGGGGGCGATATATAATAGATGCAGTATTATCTCTAGTACAATATATAGAAAATTGTTTTGAAAAAGCTGAAAACTGTTTAGGTGTATTTACAGATCTAAGCTCTGCTTTTGACTGTGTGGATCATTCAATTCTATTATCAAAACTGGAGAGGTATGGAGTACGAGGGATTTGTTTACAGCTTTTTGAATCTTATTTAACTGACAGATGCCAAACAGTCATCATCGAAAATTGCAAAAGTTCATTGATGCATATCAAGAGAGGTGTCCCTCAGGGCTCAATTTTAGGTCCATTACTCTTTTTGATATACATTAATGATCTTCCTGACCATATGCATTTTGAAAACCTTATCACATGTATATTTTGTGATGATACTTCTTTTTGTATTAATACTAAAAGAGGAACAGATCAAGTTTACTCTGATGTCATGATTCAGGCAAAGAGGTGGTTTTCTGTAAACGACCTGTTTTTAAATGACACAAAAACTATCTCGCAATTATTTACAGTAAATAGTGAACAAGTTAATAACAATTCTGTTAAAACACTTGGCATTCAAATTGATCCACATCTCAGATGGACAGATCATATTGAAGCACTTTGTTCCAAATTATCACGATCATTTTTTGCTATCAGGAAAATACGTCAAATATGTGGTCAAGATGCAGAAATTACTGCTTACTATGCTCTATTTCATAGTCATTTGACATACGGGACAATATGTTGGGGCATTGCTGCTGAGACACATATCTCAAGAGTCTTTATTTTGCAAAAATCAGCCATAAGAGCCATACCACGTGCTTCTTGGCAAGCCAGTTGTAGACCAGTATTCCCAGAACTTAAAATTATGACTATGCAGTAATAATCTATCAAAATCTTCTATTCATAAGAAATAATATTAACACATTTTTTCCCACTCAGATATCCATAATTATAATACAAGGCACAAAGATAACTTAGTCCCTATCCAGTATAGACTGGAAAGGACAAAGAAATATTATATTGAGCTATACAATATACTACCACTTAATTTTAGAAATCAAGAAATCAGCCTATAGATAAATTTAAACATGCATTAAAACAAATGTTATCCACTAATTGCCTATATAACTTAGAGGAATTTAAATCAATACAGATGGAGGATGGAGGCTGTCACTGTGGCCTCTGAGTGATTCAGTGAACTATGTTGTAAATGTTTGTAAATTTCAATTTGATATTTTTATAATATATTTAGGTAAATTTTATTATGTATATATTTAGTTTTAATTGTAATTTGACCAGCCATAAAATGTAATATTTTCTCAGGTAAATAAAGATATTGTATTGTATAGGCATTGAAACATTTCCTTGCTGCATTAGCGACAGAAGGGGGCACAATAGATCTTTTAGGTCGCAGTGTATTAACACCCCATTCCCAACATAACATACTGAAATATGGTGCATTTTTCACATATAACCATAGTTAGAATATGACCCTCTGACCATTTTTTTTTGTTTCATTTCGTACTAGATAATTTTATGAGTAATACAGGGTGTGAAATACCTTAAATATTGTAGAAAGTCTTGAAACGAATTCAGTTTTGCTTGTATTATAATCATAGCTCTTTTTAACTAACCAAATCCCGTTCTACGCCTACTTAAATGTAGAAATAATTCTACTAACTCTGACTTGAATGAATGACTGAGAAGACATTCTAATCGAAAGTAAGGCTGTCAATTCCTGAAGTGATAAACGGTTAACTGGTTCGACTGATTTTGACCGATTTTCGGTTTTAACCGGGTTTTTACCATTATTATAACCGATCCGGATATCCGGTTAACCGGTCCGATTATCTGGTCTACCAGTCTGATTATCTGGTTAACCGGTCCGATCAAACCGAGCCAGTCGAAACGGACCGGATTCGGCGGTTTAACCGTAACCAGTTAAACCCGTCACTGGTTTATCCGTTACTGGTTTAACTGTAACCATCACCGGCTTAATCGTGGTAAAACACATCCACCAAATCCTTTGTTTTCAATGGAAATGGGGTCACTTTACTAACCATTTCACCTTTACTTACCTGTAACAACCAGGCAGTGCAAGCTTTATTTTTTTAAAATAGGCACTTACTAAATAAAAATTAAATTAGAATAATAGAAATACTACCAATTTTACTTTTGCTAAACTTTATTTAAAATTTAAAAAAAGGACACAGTCACTCACTTCCCACTGGGTGGGTAAGTAGGTAAAACTAAAAAACAAAAACAAACTATATTCAAGTAAAAAGAAACATTCAAAAATAAATTATAATTAATTGGGACATAAAATAAGAAATAATAAATACCTAATAACAAAACTGCATATTTTTTTATTATTGAGTTTTGATGCAAAAAAATCAACTTATCAACGTTTCTCGGCAGCAAGCAGTTTCTTTTCGCCGAAAATATTTCCTGCACTGGAAAACACCCATTCACTGGAAGTTGATGTGGCTGGTACACATAAATACGGTTATACGGCTATTAACCAGTTCCGGTTAAACCAGTTATGTTCTTTAATGGTTCTTTGGCCATACTTAACCGGTCACGGTTACCAGCCTTAATTAAAAGCCCTTTCTGATTTTGATATACAGTACAGATGTCAGCTTAGCACTTTACTTCTAAATATTATTCTATTTTTGTAGATTTAGGTAGTAGGTTAATTTTAGTTACCACCACTACATACTTTTATCTTGCTTTAGATTATTTTCTAAGCCTGACATAACTTTTATTTATTTCTTCGTTTTTTAATCAGAATAATTACAAAAGGATTCTATAAAAGGTTGGCGAGTGTTAGATTAAATAACAGCTAAATTATCATGATAGGGTTAACACGTTTTAATCTTTGCAATTTTAGACTACATTTGATGCGTTTGTTTATCCATATAGGATGCATCTGAGATGTGATTCAAGATACGTACATGTAGTTGGAGCAGATGCATGGATAAATAAACGTTTGAGAGGTAAAAAAATCGAATGTGAATATTCAAACGTAGCCTTTCCATTTTGCAGTGTATATTTTCTTCTTCTTTTTTGGGCTGTTGTTAAGAATAATTTTGAAAGTTGTTATTAGGAATTTTTTGATAGTAGGTAATTTATTTTTGTTAGGAAACTTTCTATGTGGCATGCCTTCGTTTTTGTGTGCATAATATTCGCGATTTGCGAAGTGTTATTTATAGAGTACAATAAAATTCAAGAGAATCCCATTACTATATATTACTGTACATGTAAGACTGGTTCAAGAACTATAAGCATGTGTGTTCATATTTCAAGTGTTTTGTGGTATCTGGAATACTCACGATTCGAAAATTATATAAAGTACCCTTCAAATGTTTTGTTGACTATTTTAAATGCTGCTGAAAGATGAGTTAGATTTTGAAAGTGTGTATATATAGTTATAATGTATCTAATAGAACAGGTTTTTCAAAATGCAATTTTTTTTATATTGATTTATAATTTAGTGGGAAGTCTAAAAATCTATGTAAAGAATAAAATAGTATGTCTTTCTGTCACACCCTGTATTTTTAATTAATATTATCTAGTATTTAATATAACAAATAAGTGATCGCAAGTCATGTTCTAATTATACATGAAAATGCATCTTATTTCAGCAATAAAAATTCCTATTTTTTTTTTGTATGATTTATTATACAAAGTGGATTTAAACATTAACAAACTGTATACAAGTGTATGTGCATGTTTTCTTGTAAAAGTGAAAAGTTATCATTAAATTTATTTTATTCATGTAAACAATTATTTCAACAAATAAATTAAAATCCAGGTATCATCTGTGTACATAAACGAAGCACCACTTCGGAACTTCTATAATGAATGCACTTATGTACTAGCTGGTTTCTCACATAATTTCTTACAATTGTCTTTATTCATAAATTAAAATTCGATGTTTTAAAGTTTTCCACAGACTGGTTCTTCCTACATTTACAATTCCTTTATTTTTAATTTCTAAAGTAATTAGATAACATGAATCAAGTATATAATCATTTAGTTACTTACCAATTACATAATATATTTAAACTATTTTTTGTGACCTGCAAACAATATTAAGAAAAAAACTGAAAACACTAAAAACGTATATGTCAAATTTAATGATGTTTTTGTTAAAAGTTTGATTAGAAGTTAAATGTCAGTGGAACCATTATTGCGTCACACTAATATGGCATATTAGAGTAAAATTATTTTTTACATGAATATGACAGCCACTTGTTTCAAAATGAGAGTTGGGAATCAGTTTGAAACAGGTTTACTTACGGAAATGGGTCGAATGACACGTCGTTTTAAAGGTATTTTTATTTTATAAATATTTAAATTACTCCTATTTACGTGATGACCAATTTAGTTTTCAATCCTTTGATGTCATGTTACATCAAAGAATTGGCTGTCGTTATCATATAGAAAAATGGTAATTTTACAATCTAATCTAAATTACATGGCAGAAGTATTAATTCAACTGGATATTCAGAATATGGTATTTCTTCCCCTATTTCTTTATTTTTAAGAGTTAACTAGATGCCAATTTTCACTTCTTGTGAGACATATCCCAAGTGAAAATAATTCAATTTTGGAATTTTAAGAATTTCTGCTTTTTGAAATTTTACATACTTACTTCATATCAATTGACTGACAGTATTACCAAAAAATTTAATTATCAACACTTTTTTTGGATTGTATTTAAGTATGACTATAAAAACACAAATTGTTAATTAGAAAGTGATTACATTCTAATTGTTTTTCCTATACTTACAGAGTACAAGAACACTACGAAGCACTGTAACTGTATATGTATCAGATTCTGATTCAGATGATTGTGTAGTACTAGACAATATGAACAATAGCCAACAAGAGATAAACACGAAATTTCCAAGAAAGTACAATGAATCAGAAGGTGGTACACTTCCAGAACCAGATGATGACATCATCTTTGTTCCACCCCCTCCAGTTGAAATTATCAATGTTGAAATTGATGAAAATGAGAAATCCGACCTTAAGGAATGTGTTCTAGAAAAAAAGTCTTTGGACGGGCCTAATTATAATCCAGAAGAAGGAACTGAACTGATCGAAACTCCTGAATCAACTTTTTCAAACGATTTTCTGGATAATTCAAATCTTGACACTAATAATGCCAACTTTAATTTCAGTCTTCATGGTTCTGAATTTAGGAGTGGTCCATCTGAAGTTATAAAAAGTCGAAAACCTACTGAGTACTGTGAAACAGAAAGTAGTTGTAGTACAAATGATCAACAAAGTAGAGTTTTTAGCAATACTGTCAAAACCATAGTATTTGATGAGGTTGAATTTCCGAGAGAAGATATATTTTCTGATAAAAATTTAGAAAGCTTCAGTTCTTTTATAACACCTAAGAGAAGCTGTCCTGATAAACCAAATAGTCTTGTATCAAAATCAACAGTACCTTTAATAGAAAATGATGAAGATTATATTTCTTCAGGTACTAGTAGTTCAGAAAGTGATTATGAGAGTAATGTTAATAGTAAATCAAACAACTTACCCAGTTTATCACCAATGGTGCCTAATGATAATCTCAAAAATGCACCCAAAAAATCGGCTCAAAATTTTTTAAAGCCCTTTACTAAAAAAGCTGCTATTGAAGAAAAAGAAGCTTCTAATATAATGAAAAAACCTGGGCTACCAAAAAATAGCAAAGAAAAGAAGGATTTGGAAAACCTCAGAAAAAAGAGGTACTTGAACAATGATGAAATGCCAAATGAAAACTTGGATGAAGAAAATACAGATGTGATTTATGATCAATTAGGAGAAAACTGTCAATCAAGTACCCCCAATTTAAAATCTAAAAAGAAAAAGAAAAGAGTCAATTCATTATTAATTTCCCATGAAAGTGAAAATATACCAGAAGTTGATCATATTTCTACTACACAAGAAAGCACTGCCAATGACAGTAGCATTATATGTATTTCAGACACTTCTGTTTTGGATAAAACAAAGAAGAAAAAGAAAAACCGAGACGTCACATCAGAAAAGGATCCTACAGCTGAGGCTGAAGTACCCACTGAAACAGGTCTCAATGAAGATGATTCGCTTCAACTTCTTCACTCAGATGACGTTGAAGATGGTTGCAATTCTGAGAAGTCCAAGAAAAAGAAGAAAAAGAGAGGAGAAAATTCTGAAATTATTATTAATAATCAAGAATCGGCCATTGCTAGTTTTGTAAAAGATGTAGAAATTACAATGGATTTATCCCACAATTTGGAACCAAAAAAGAAGAAGAAAAAGAAATTGAAAGATGGAATAGATTATGAAAATAAAAAAGGGAAGGAAAGAAAAAATAGGAGGAAGAGAAAGAAAATTGAATTTGAAGAAAACACTTCACATGTTATTGATGGAACAAGTGAATCACAAGAAGCTTATGATACACCACAAAGTAACAGTGATTCAGACAATGTGCAAATTAATGCAAAGAAAAGCCCTTCCAATTCAGTTATACTAATAGAAAATGAAACCAACAGCCCAAATGACTGTATAGTTGTTGACTCTGATGATTCATCTGATGTTGAACTTGTTTTGTCTACTGATACTGAACTAGATTTCGAGGTATTAGATGATATTGATGATGATTTGTCATTAAATTGCTCTACCAGCAAACATCATATGGAACAAGTTAATGTTAGCAATGAAGAAGTGGACAGGGTGATTAAACATGCCCGTGTGTCTTTGGAAGACGGTGATCAATTTGATGTTGAAACCATTCAAAATCAACAGTCAAGTAAGTAACGAATTATTTATACTTGAAAAATTCATTTCATTGGGAAAGTTAAATGAATTTTTCAGACGATCCTGATAAATGGAAAATATCATATAGAGATAGAGGGTTATTGTTTAATTCAAAATCAAACAGGGGTCCAAGGTGTAACAGGTGTAGACATTTTGGACATATTGGCATAAGGTGCCCTGAGAAACCGCATCCACAACCATGTACCCTTTGTGGAAGACCTGATCATCAGGAACCTAGGTGTCCCAATCAAAGATGCTTACAAGTATGTTTTTAAAATATTTATCAAAAACATTTTTGGATTTTTGAAGAGATAAATTAAAAATATAAATGATTGCAAAATAATGGTCTTAATTTTGACTTTTATTTAGGGCGATTACTTGTGACAATGTTAGAGAATTTTGATTGGTCATGGACAGTTAGATAATTTTTTTATTAATAAACTTTTAAGCTCTATAAACAGCTTTTTGCCATTAAAATTTATTTTAAATATATTAATACTGTTAGTGTTGTTACCATTGTTTAAAAGTATACACCTTCATATTAAACATATTTAGTAGAATTTTATTAGGTCATAAAACATATTTTTTTCTTACATTAAATATTGAAATGTTATTTTTCATACTGACCATGTTTTATTTTTTTTTTTAATTTCTAATAATAATATGCTTGTTATGTTCTATCGATTAGTTTTGCTAAAAAATATATATTTTTTTAACAGTCTGTTACAAAGTCAATTTTAACAAATACATTTTAAATTAGACTTTAAATTAAATTTGAGCTTAAATTTTAATTAAATTTTGGATTAAGATTAGAAAATAAAAATGAATAGCATGTCATAAAGGGTAAATGGTTTTTTATTTTCAGTGTGGCAATCCAGGAGTGTATTCAACTACATACTGCATTCAATGTTTTAAATTTAGAAACTCATTATGCATGTTATGCCGAATGCCAGGACATATTCAAAAATTTTGCCCAGATCTATGGAGAAGATATCACCTGACGGTAAAAACTAAAATGACTTACCCCCAGTTTAAGGTTGTAAACAAAAAATTCTTCAAATCAACAAAACCACTAGTAATATAGAAAATTTCTCTAAAATGATGAAAAATTGTAATTCTCTTGAAAAATTTTCATAATTCCATAGTTGAGTTCAGATGTACATGCTACATCTGATCTCAGATTTCTATATGGTAAATTAATTTTTATATATATAGAGCCGGCCCAAGATAAGATTGGTACAGCCACGTGCTCGACCCTGCGCGAAAGTGTGACGTCAGAGGTGGACGCATTTTTAGTTAGTAATTTATATTTCCTTTTTTTTTTATTTTAAATTATGTATTGTGGTAAATTACTAACTAGGTATTACGATGTGAATTTTATTCTAAATAATATTCATGTTTATAAATAATAATAATAATAAAATGGGGCGGTATTAAAATACAAAATACTTATATATTACAAAAATACATATAAATAGAGACACAAATTAAATTTTCTCCCGATTTTTAATCAGAGAGCTGTTGTGTTCCTAAGCTAACGTCACTGTATTCATCTTCTGACCAACTTTCATCCGATGACCCAGTATTTAGTGTAAACCTTAAATGATCCATTGTCGAGTCCAACAAATGTTCTTTTTTAATTTGTGTGGCTTCATATTCCTTGACATGTTAACAAATGTTGACCTACCCTTCTACTTGCAATGATGGCAAACCTCTCTTGTGTTAACGATTCCACATTAACTAAAGTGAATTTCTCGCTGCTAAAGCTAACTCGATAAGTACTCCCTCAGTGTGTCTGTTAATTTAATTTCCTTACCTTTGAAATCTGGTTAAAGGACTGTTGGGTCCGTAGTTCGTATGATGGAAGCTAATTGAAAATAATGGTTTCTCTCTAATATTTATGTTGTTTAATCTAAAGTTTATTAGCTCCAACATATCCGGACAAGCTATATTCCCTTCCAGGAGGTTATAAAGAAATAAAAGATCATTACTAATTAACGTTTTCTCAACTGACAATAAGTTTAAATGGTTATTAAGCTCCCTCTTAGATAGATGAGGCATATGTAACCTCCACAGACAAGTTCTTAGAAACCTAGTTTGAACTGCTTCTAAATTAAAATATAAGTCCGGTAATGAGGTGACCAGACTGGTGAAGCATATAAGAGGATGCTGCACACTAGTGTTAAGTAAAGGGTTCGGAATGTAGGCACAGAGTTCCTGGTCACAAATCCTAATGTTTTCAGAGCTCTACTAATGATGGATCTCATGTGTGGGAAAAATGTCAAAGAACTATCGAAGATCACACCTAGATCCTTGATTTCACTAACTTTCTCCAAAACAGTAGTATTGATATTATAAAGAAAATTCATAGGGTTTTTTGTTCTTGTGAAGGTGATTGAAAAACATTTACGTGGGTTTAAAGACATGGCATTATTTAAAGCCCAATTAATAAAATATTTTAAATCATCCTGTAACTTCAAACAGTCAGGTAAGTTTAGGATTTTCATGAATAATTTCAGGTCATCGGCGAATAGTAGGAACTTACAATATTTAAATCCTGAAGCCACATCGTTAATAAATATATTAAATAGTAATGGTCCCAAATAAGATCCCTGGGGGACACCTGAACTTACATTTATTGGAATCGAAGTAAAACTTTTAACTTTGACATATTGAACCCTGGATTGCAGGTAACTTTCTAACCATTTCACTAAGTAGTTTGGAAATCCGAATTTCACGAGTTTCCTTAAAAGCAAATCATGGTTCACCGTGTCAAATGCCTTCGAGAAGTCAGTGTAAATTGAGTCAACCTAACACCCCCTCTCGAAGGCAGAAATGATATAATGTTCGTAGAGCAGTAAATTTGTATTAGTAGACTTACCTCCCATTAACCCATGCTGTTGTTCAATCAAAATGTTTTTGCAATGCCATGACAAAGGTTTATATAACAATAATTCTAATAATTTAGGTATTGCAGAAAGTAAAACTACAGGGCGATAGTTAACTATGTCATCTTTCTGGCCATTTTTAAATATGGGGGCAATGAAACTATCACGCCATTTTGCAGGAAACTGTTGTAATTTCAAAGAGGAATTAAATAAAAACTGTAGTGGTTTGGAAAGAGTGAATTTACATTTTTTCAAAAAATAAGCAGGGATTCCATCTGGACCATAACTCAATTTATCTTTTAGGGAGTTAATACCATCATAAACATCACTTAAGGGAAACTGTATAAAGGAAATATCAGGCTGGTTAAAAGCATTATAATGAAGGTTTGGCTCATCTACAATATCTTATAAACACTGGAGAAATGCGTAGCAAACAAATTACTGATGTCTTTTCCATGGTCTTGTTTCAAAGAATTAATGTGGTTCCAGAAGTATTTTGTATTTTCACAAACCTTCAGATCTATACCAAAAATATAATTTTTCTACAAGCGTGCGAGAAGATCATCTTCTCGCACGCAGAGAAATATAAATTGAAAAAAAAAAAGGAAGGTATACTTACCACCGAGGCCCGGGTTTGAACCTAAGATCTTTGCGTTATGAGCCCGAAACCCTACCCACTTCACCAATTCAGCACATAACATCGGTTTAATATATGTATACTTAAACTGTATGTTGTACCTAATGTCATTATACAGGTTAATTCTCTATTTTAGAAATAAATGCGCTTGTAGAAAAAATGTTGATCGTAACACGTGCTAGAAGCACGTAAAAGTGCATCTTCTAGCACTTGTTGCGATTACTATTTCATAATTTAGTTTTGATAAATTTTTACATTAGACCGAAGGTTAGAAACATTTAAGTAATCAACAGCTGAGCGAGTACTTTTGAATACAGCATGAGCTGCCTTCTTGCGAGAAATCAACTTTTTTAAGTTCAGCTAAAAACCATCTAGGGTATACTAATGGTTTATATCTCCTAACAGGTACAAATAAAGCTAATGCCAATTTTAAAATCTGATAAAAAAATTTCAACACCAACATTAATATCATTATTGACTAAAATACCCTCCCAATTAATTGGAGCAAAATAATTATTTAAAGCTATATAATCCGCTTCTTTAGTCATAAAAAACAATGTCACAAGACAAGGGACTAATATCACTGACAGTTAATGCACATGAAATTGCAACATGGTGGAAGTTATTAGGCAATAAGGTGTCTACAGCTGTCTCGATAGTAACCGAATTCCGAGCGTCATTGTTACAAAAACATAAGTCGAGGAATACACCGTGCTAATTTGGAATTCCATTGGCCTGACTCAAATTCAAGTAGGAAAAACTCTCACTAATTATTACGGCTGGATATTCTGCAGGGCAAGAGACAGAGAGGCCATCATCACACGAATAATTCCATGTAGCAGCATTTGGAAAATTATAGTCCCCAAAAAGGTATAGCTTATTGTTAGGGTTGTTTTCCACTATATGCTCAACAGCAGAACAATGATCAATATAAGCATCATGATTTAACCCTGGTGGAATGTAGACAGCGCCAAAAATAATAGTTTCATTATTGATCGACAATTAAACAAATAAATGTTCAACATTAATAAACTGAGTAATAAGATGTGATGTTTTATATTTACTTTTAACTAAAATCAAGACACCACCACCTCTGGTTCTTGAGCTAGTATGTATGTTCCTGTCTGCTCTGAAGACCCTGTAACCGCTAATGCAGAGTTCATTATCCTTGAAATTATCAGTCAGCCACGACTCCACCAAAACAATAACATCATATTCACATTGGGCAATTGCGGTACGTAATTCAACAAGCCTAGTACGAATGCCACCAACATTCTGGTAGTACACCGATAATGAAGAGCATTTTAGTTTTTTGATAGAGCGTTTTTTTGCAATATTATTAAATTACATATATTAAATACATAATAAATATTTATTATTGTAATCATTGATTACCAAAATTTTATCTACGCAATGGGTTCAATTTTAATATTTGAAATTTTAGCTTGCATGGCAAAACAGCACTTGTTAGAAAATATGCAAATTATGCGTGGCGAAACAGAAATTTTTATTGCCGTGGCAAAACGATACGTGGCGAATGTGGAATAATCCTAATTTTGAGAAATAAACAAACCTGTTGTGCAAAATGTAATCTTAAAGTTGTCAAATTAAATTCCTAATTGTTAAAATAGCAGATAGGTTTAGATATTACTAAATCTGATTGAGAATATTTTTATCTACAACCACCATAGTAGGTAAATCGTCTGTTGTGTACATCATTACAGATACTGTTACGTAATGAAATCCCAAAAACTGTATATAATTATATATTACATAACAGTTTCATTTATCAAACTATCCATATAACTCCGTTGCTAGGTGATCGCTATGGTTACGATAAATAGTTTTGACATTTCAGAAATAAAAAAATCGGCATATTTATTTTGGGGAACCTATGGAACAATTATTCAAACCATCATTATTGGCAATGTATTCTATGTTAAAAATCGTCATTATCATAAAAAATAAAGTGAATATTGAAACGTAGGTACTCAAAATTATAAGTATACCTCAAACGGTAATCAATTAGATGGTTTTAAAAGCAGACATTTTTTTGATGAAATAAGTAAATATTTTTAATTTTAATTAAAACAAATATTTGTGTCTAAAACAATTTTTCTTCAGTTAATTCAGTATTTGCATTTGGAATTTACAATATGTTTAATAAATGTTATAAATTATAGAAGCCTTCTCGTTATTATGAATGTATAATTCTGGATGTAGATAATTACATGCTCGTGAAAATACTGCACTAGCCGCTAACGCTTCTTACTACTTTTTATGTAATATACCATGCGACTGTTATAAAATAAATTATTATACCGATAACTTTTTAGAGGAATTTAAAATCCTTATTTGCTTCTTTTTCCATAAATTTTGTAATATATATCATTTATCTTGTTTTACTATTAAGGGGTCTCCCTTTTAATCTAATTCTCTTTGGAACCATTACAACAACAAAAACAATATATGTAAATATAAATCACAAATCACTATAATTAAAATTGTCACTTTTCGCACTCTATTCACTTTGTGTATACTCTACTCAGGCTACGCCACTGAATCACTACGTTTGGCTTCGCCGGGTAGCCGTTGCTAAGCAACTGCCAGTGCGCACCTTTTGCTGCCGCCATGCTGTGTACCAATCTCATCTTGGGACATCTCTACTAGCCGGTGAGGAGAGACTTGGCTGCGACTATACACCACCTGTAGTCAAATATTTAAACTTGATGTTCTGTCACTTGTTATGTAGCTATAAAAATTTTAAAGGCGCTATATTTGAAGTTTTAAAAAATGCCATAAAGAAAATTATTTACGAAAACAAAGAAATTAACAATATTAAGTTATTCCTGTTTTAGAATAACAATGATCAGTGTTGTACATCGTTTCAAATTTATTTAAAAAAATCAGTTTTCTCTTCCAAAGTGGGTTTTTTTAACTTGTGGATATGTTTGACCGTCTTTTTCTTTTAGCACTTTTAAATAATCGTAATTGCTTGTCAATGTTTTTGTTGCTAGGTTCATTCCTATTTAATTGCATTCTCATGAGAAAGAATGATTCGCAGGTTTACATGTTTTTTTCTAATTTCAGTGATAAACATTAACTGTCCTTTCGGAAGAAACTAGCATTCTTTTTTTTTTTGTGACAGAATGACAGAATTGCACATGTCAAGTTGTGCATGCACAATGTTTACGTGACTAATTCCATAAGTTATTTTTTAATCATGGTATATTTTTGACGTCAGACACACTAAATTCACAAATATATAGGACATTTTATTTTTAATCAAATAAATAAGCAACTTTAAAGGTTTTCAAAACAATTAATCAACATATATTTTTTTAACTAAATAAGAAAAAGTCAAATAAAAGTATAACTTATCAATTTTCAGAATGATGGACCAATAGTTGCTTCCACAGCACAACCAATATCAAGAAATGAACAGTGGTGTTCAGGTTGTGCAAAACGGGGACACTTAGAACATGAATGCGATTATTATAATAGGCAGTTTCCTCCGACAACACCTTTCATAATGAACTACAATGATGTTTTAAATCTTCGCAAAACTCCTGAGAAAAGTAATGTTTTCCAGCCAATGGTTAATTCACCACCAATTGCGAATCAACAGATTGTTAATCCGCCAACGGTCAATATGGCCCCAATGGGTAATGCGGCAGTGTCAAATCCACCATTGGTTAATCCTCCATTGGTTAATCCACCATTGGTTAATCTTCCTATGGTTACGCCACAAATGGTAAATACTGTGCTGAATTTCGTACCTCCCCAAGGCTCAAATGTGCCTAATTTACAGACAGAGTTAGGCAGAAAAGTTATACCACATTCTTCAACACATAATATGACAATTCAAGTTAGTAACACTCCTACACCAAACGATATTGTACTACAAATGATGTTGAACTTTAATAATCCAATCAATAATTCCAATGACCAGCCAAATATTCATAGCAATGAAGTCTTTCAAAATAATCAAACCAATAATCAAAATATCACACAAAATCAATTCAATAATCAACCAAATCAATTCAGGCAACCCGCAAGTCAAAGGCATAATATTGATTTAAATGATGAAGAGCAGATAAAAAACTACATAATGAATATGCCCAATAAAGACATATATGATTTTATTCGAGACGAGATGGACTATATGAAAAATAGTAACATAGATCCTCGAGTTTTAAAAAGAAAACTCATCAAATACGATAGGATTGATCTAAGCCAAAAAACCCTGCCGCCTAATCTAGTTAGAGAAAGGAATTTTTGGTGGAAAATTTTGAACATGGTTATATTGGGAGTCAATAAACATAAAGACGGCCGTTTGCATTTGATTCATTTAAATAGATACTTAGATAGAGGAAAGAAACTTAAGCTGGATTTTCACAAACGGCGATCATTACTGAGTTCTTATTTGTATATTTTTGGAAACCAAAAGCGCCCGAACGTGGATTATTATAAAATAATAAGGACAATTACTAGACAATATTCTTGTAATTCAAATTAGTTAAATGAGTGCCTATTTTATTCATTTTTGATACATGAGATAATTAAAAGTTGTTTTCTATATTTATGGCATTTTATTATTTTACGTTTTATCTCCCGGATTCCTTTATTCATAATTTGTTAAATAAGTTGATTTAACTACATTATTTATTCTACAACCAATCATAACGTGTTTCTACAATCGACATTCAACATAAGCGTTGCACATTCAAACTAATGAAAAGTTGTATTGTCAGAGTTTTCGTTTGCTGTTGAAATTAAAAATATTGAAATCAAGTAGTTATATGATGTTCAGTTTTTATTTAAATCAGCCTTGGCCGTGGGAATTCACTGGATATAATAGTGGTCTTCAAAAAATATTTCTAAAGTAGGCCATGCCAGCAAAGTCAGATACGAATCGTGTCTCTGATAACTACGCGCAGCTCTGAATTAAATCCAAACTAACACTTAAAGAGAAAAATATACGTAAATTTTTCCAATGCCTACTTTATAGAAACAGTTTTGTGGATCACTCTTTATAATGAGGTTCAATAATATCAAAGGTGTTTTGACAAAAGGGCGTAAGCGACTAAATTAGCTAAATTGGGATATTTATGTAAAATTTAACCTGACAGTATTCCACATCGATACCAAAAAAGAAAACTTCCAAAAAATCCCGATCGCAAAATATTTACGTTTTAAATAAGTGAGTTAAAATATACAAAAGAGAATAAAAGTTGCAATATTTTTTTTCTTCAAGTTTTTTAGACCATCCTTAGCAAATTGATCTATTAGGGAATCGTCAAAATCTAGAGATCCATGTTCACTATCCTTAAATAATACAAAAAACTTCTGATGGATGGGGCCAGCCCACAGCGTATGCTCTTCTTAACATTAAGATTTATTCATCGAACGTAAACATTTACATACAAGCACAAGTAATGGTAATAAAATATTCACAGGTGTTTTAATCCAATAAAGTTGTGCTTTGCTTAAAAATCCAAATAGCATGATTTTTTTAGGTTTGATTGGAGTATCCAACCAAAAGATCACCCTTGAACGAACATTTTTTAGAGCAAAAAAAGCTTTAATAAAGGTAGAAAATCAAATTGTAAACAAATTTTCTTTATAAAAAAATTTACGGAACATTACATGACAAACATTTCCCACGCTGCAAGCCGAAACACTTTTTTAGAGCAAAATGACCTTTATAAAAGTTTTAGAGAATCTAATCCTGATCAACTTTTTTTCTTTCAAATTGCATCTCTAATACTTAATGATTTTAAGGAAATTATACTTTTTCCAAATAATGCCCTTTTAATCGTTCGTTATTAAAGACACAAAAAGAAAAACTGTTTAAAATTTAATCTTCTACAACTTTTATTAAAGCTAGTTTGCTCTTAAAAAATGTTTACGAAATCACACCTATAGCGCTGTTCGTACCTGCAGTTCGTATGTGATCTTTTGGTTGTACAAGATAGTCCCCTAGATACCCTAAAAAAATAATTCTGTTTGGATTTGTCTTTTGCAAAACAGACATATTTCTCGGATTATTTATCACACAGACGTTTGAATCTCAACATCTCACAATAACCTGAAGTGCCATCTATTAATATAGACGTTATACACTATAACCTTTAATTAATAAATCTGTGTATTGAGCAGTCAGCAGAGCATAATGTGGCGCCATCTGTATTTCGTGACTGGAAGTAGTGAAAGTTGTACAAAAACTTATGTAATGGGGCTTGTAGCGATCACACCGATATACAGGATTCTACCGGTGTGTCACACCGTGACTATTTGTGGACTGTAGTAATAAGAAAGTTTGAAATACCTGTGTAATAGGTCTGGGAGATGTAGATACCTGGATTAAATGACTACCTATTGATGAACACTTTTATTTTAAAACACAAATTGAATGAGTTCAGTTAAAACTATACATAATATACTTATGAACATACATTGTTTACATTTTCTACGAAATTTATTACCTTAAGCCATGTTGCTTACGAATTGATTTATTACGTAATGGCGGGCACAGCATCCATTTTCATCACAGCAAACGCGTGTTGTGCTTGACGGTACCTAAAGCTCTTCTTCGGAGAAGGAGCGAGCTTGAAGTATTTATTTGTTGCAGAACTTCCTTATCGGTTAAGATTACAGGGACGTCGCTAGGAGTTGCATATAAATTAGGAATGAATGTATTTTGGATGTAATGCTGTGTAACGATGAATGAATTTCTTAATGTACTCGTATTTCAACAGGGCTTTTATTTAAAACATTATTCTAGGCAGGATATGTTTTGTGAATATACATTACGTCTTATCTTAATTTCTTGGTAAGCTGATATAGTAGATGAATTAATAAGTTTTATAGTTTTACTGCATTCCAAAATTCCGTCAATGGAATTATTTATTTCTGCTTAAAGTAAAAGTACAGCTAATTGCAGAATTTTTAAAAGAAAATAGTTTCAAAGATTTTACCTTTATCTTACTCTCACTCCTGTCTGTTTCTTGACTTGCTAACTTGCTAGTACTAGCATCATGCTCAAACACATTTTTTGAAGTCGCTGCAATGAAATAACTCAATTTAGCTTTTGAACATTCCGAAGTAAATTTTGATGTTTCTCTTCCTTATACAGGGTGGCTCACGCTCAACGGGACGGAGCTTTATGGGAAAACGACCAAAGATATAAAAAATTCGTTTGGGAGGAATACGTAGGTTACAGACGGCTACAATTTAAAATTTGTAAGATGTATACAGGATGTCCCACATAAGAAAAAAAAATTAGTTCATTAAAAATTATTCAAACAAGAGTAAACAATTAATTTCTGGGAGACTTTTTTTCCTTAAAAATTCAAATAAATCGAAAACTAATAATAGTAGTAGGGAACCTTAAGTTAACTGACATTATTTTTGATGTAGTTTTTAATTCTAAAATAAAAAACAGGGTGTTCCATTAAAAATAATATAACTTTGTATATTTTCTCTTATGTGGGACATCCTGTATACATCTAACAAATTTTAAATTGTAGCCGTCTGTAACCTACGTATTCCTCCCAAACGAATTTTTTATATCTTTGGTCGTTTTCCCATAAAGCTCCTTCCCGTTGAGCGTGAGCCACCCTGTATATCTATCTAGCCTTCTTCCGGTTTTCAGCGCCACTTAATTTTTTCTTTACTGCAGATTCTGGTATAGTCGCTAAAGTGACAATGCTACTTTTTTTGGTATATCCCATGGAGATAATTTTACCTCCATGGTATGTCCTCTAGTAAATGTCAAACGTTTCAATTGACGTAATAAAAGTGGATAAAATACGCAATGAAATACGCGATGTTGCCCCGCTCATATGTTTATGTGGAGCTTTCCATTTCATTACAAGGCGGCGTTCGCGCACCGATTTTCGTTCTAGCTTAGCAATTATTTGGCGCCTCTTAGGATTTTGCACTACAAGCTCGGGCTTGTACTATAATACTAGTTCGCCCACGCATAATCACGGCGTAATTACAGAAGAATTTTTGACGCTTTCTCAAAGAAAACAAAATGAAACCTGTGATGAAACACTAACATAAATCACTACCTTAAAGACATGTGCTCTAGGAATAACAAGTGAAATAACTTTATTGCTTTTGCATATAAAAGAGGGCAGATTTAGATGTCGATGGATGTTTTAACTCAAAATTCTTGAGTTTTGCCACTATTGTTCTCACCAGGCGATTTGACCTCACCTTTACTCAAATATTCTATATGTAATACTTTTCTCTTATTTTCGGTATTATTCTCTTTTTTTGAGTTGATCATTGGTTGATTTGATTGTGGAGAATTAAAAAAAAAACTAATAACCTTTAAAAATTAATATAGGATAAAAACAAAGATTAACAAGAAACAAACTGTCAATTTATTCTCAGAATTCTTATAAACTTCTAGATAACGTCAATCCAGAAAACTTTTAAGTACTTAACTCTTAAAAAATTCTGTAGACAATCTTCAACATTACATAAACGATCCCTTTCGTTAAAAAACGTTTTTATTCTGTCAAATTCCCGACTATAATCCACCTCGTATTTTTTCTATTACCGCACTTTCTTGGGTCCAAAAATCAGATCGGCATCAGGAGTACCTTTAAGATGTTGGTATTTTTTCCGTTCTCTGTTTAAATTTTGAGTTACGGGTTTGCTTTGTTGTTGCATCATTTCCTGATAATCTTCTTCTTCAAATCTTTCGGTGATGTTCAACGTCAATCGTTTTACTTTTTCCTTTTCTTCTTTTTGAACTTGTTCTTGATCTCTTAGATTTTGAGCTAATTCAGAATCGACGTCCGCTTCAAATTGCTTGTATTGTTGCTTGTTGCCTTTGCGTACCATGAGAACAAAACCGATTTTCCCTTGTTCATTTTCATTTGCAGCTTCCTAAAAATAAAACAAACATTGATTATTAATTGATATAGTTTATGGCCCATTATATGCAGAGGTCGCTAGGTCCAAAATTCTAAATATGAAATCTATTCTTATTTATTAATATTGCATTAAATGAACTAATTCATAAGGTAAAAGCTTCGACTGATATATATATATACCTGTAACTGTTCATAAGTTCTCTTAACGTTAGATTTTAAAACTACTGGCACAGAAATGTCTACATTTCCAGCTTTAACAGGTTCTTTCATTCGTTCTTGAATATTTTCGGACACCATCTTGTCAAGAGCATTGAGGAAATCTTCGTCTTCCGGACAATCAACTTTCTTTGGACCTCTTGGAATTGCTAAAGATTCGGATACCGGATCCTGTTCTGCTTCGCTTGTCATATTTTCACCTAAATTTGAAGAAAAATTAAAAATAGTCGAATTTTTACAAATATTTCATATTTCTAACATCAAGGTGCGTTGAAGTGTAGCGGGTGAACAAACAAAAAACTTTCATAATACCTTCATCATCTGATCCTTGTGTATTATCAACAATCTCATCTTCAGTAGCAGTATCATCAGTAACAGGTCCTGTAACCCCTTCTGACGTTTCTTCCTCAACACCCTCTTCATTGTCAGTTTCTGCTATTGTATCTAAACCGTCTTCATCTGTTTGTCTGTTATCCATTTCCAACAGTTTTTCAATGCCCAAAGTTACTTTGATATTATTCAATTCTTCCAGAGCTTCTTCATAGTTCTGGCAAAGTTTTAACTTTGGCCTCAAAGTAGTTAGGGTATCCCTGAAAATGTGCTCAAGCATCGGGGGAAATCCCTCTTGCCAAGCTTTTTTCTTGTTCCAATAGTAGGCTTGGAGAAAGGCTAAGTAGTAGTCTAATTTTCTTTTGCTGTTACCACTACTGAAGTATGTACCTGAAAAATTTCAATAAAAGTAAAATGTATTCCTTTGTGTTTGTCACTTACCGCAAGTTTCTAAGAGAACACAAGCTAATCGAATTCTGAAAAGATTTTGTGGTGGATCCAAAGGTGAGGGCTCATTTGGATCCATGGAAACACCAAATGATATAATTGAATATAATACCTTAAAATAAAATTATTTATTAAACACAGACGAATTTTTTGATCTGTCAAATTTTTAAAATGTCACGTGTCAGTGAATTTTCATATTAATCTATTGAATATAACCCTTGGTATCGGGATTATCGATAATAGCATAACGTCGTTGGGCGTGTAATATCTGCCATGTGGCATATTGTCACATGACTGATATTATGAGGTTACAATTTTTCACGACTCACACAGCCGATTTCGATTTATACCTTAAAAAGATAGGTTTAAATCACATAGTAGGTATTACTGTACTATAAAACGATCAAGCATGCGTACATTAAGCCAATAAAATCACGTTTAAAAAATTCACATGGCAGATGTTACACCCCCAACGACAATACGTTAATGCATGAAGCCTGTTGTCAAAAATTCATTTGTCTAGTCCAAAAGATGAGTGAAATTATCATACCACTCGCATTACATATATAATTTCCTTCAAACGATTATTACTTTAACATGTCTATGAATGTTAAAATAACCGATATGATATTCATTATTTTTAGCAAATAAAATATGACCAATTTTTAACTCTTTTACCTTAAACACATCTGAACTTTCAACCATTCTGTAGTTATATAACTCTCCAAGATATTTAACTTGAGCTATCCTTCTTTGGTTAAATTTTGGCAAGTTTATTTCCATTCCTAATCGAATATCTTCTAAAACGCCATCTACTACTTTAGTACCAACTTCCTCTTGATAACCCACGAGACCTGCCAAAAGATTGGCTAAACATCTGTAAATAAATTCAAAATAGCATGTTTTTAATTATTTTTTTATATATAACAATGCTTTACCTTATGTTAAAATATTTAAGGTTGTGTGCTCCTGTCAAGCATTTTACGGCATAAGCAGATATCTCTGCATTTCCCCAATCTAGTTTTCTCATTAATCTCATAATTTTATCAGTATTATTCTTCTGTAGATCTTGATATAACAATTTTCTAATAAATTTATGCATAACCGGCCTTTCTTTTTTAGTTATGGTTACCACTTCTGGGGGATTTACATAGTAATAAGCATTTTCAATTTGCGTTACATATCGAGAATCAAAAGCCATCACAGCTTTCTTCCTCATCATTTGCTCTAAATATACTTTAGTTCTTGGATAAGAATCGGAACTGCAATACAAAAATCTACCACACACTTCAAGTAAATTGCAGGCCATTTCTATGTTGTGATGGGAAAAATCGTGCAGTAAAACTTTAAGACAATACAATGCTTCTATTTTTGAATATAGTTTAAATTTCACGAGTTCCCCAATAAACCTAACAACTTTGATTTTAGATTCAATGTTAATCTGATCTTTTTTCTTAACGTGGTATTTGAAATCCTGCCTTAACATTTGGCACAATTCTGTACCTACTTCTGGGATGGCTGGATGTAAAATTGCCACAAAACGTGCATAAAATGGCAGCAAATCCAGTCTAGTACGATTTACTCCAAATAAGGTGCGGACTAATTTTTTGCGGTTGTGTTTATTATTTAGTGTCACAAGAAAATCTATTGCTGCATTATCTATCATCTCTCTATTGACACAATTAGGTAGATTGTTTAAGAATGCTTCTAGGACTATTTTATTACTAGCTGTAGTGGATGTAGCATCTTCAACTTCTTCTTCAGGGGCTGGTTCTTCTGCTTTACCTAAAATTTGTAACCAAAAATTATATAAGTCAATATATACTTTGAAATAAAGATCAGACACCTAATTATATTTGCACGTGAGAAATAAGGAGACTTTCGTGAATCGGCTGCCTGCTGTAATTGTACAGATGGATATACCTCTACCACTTGTGGGCTGGCACGCACTGCTCAAAGGCATCGCTTATTTTATACCGTTCTTCTGGTGAGTGTATGAAACTTAACGTAATGTATATATTTACCGCTATGAAATCAAGAAAGATAGCAACGAGTTCACACTGTAAAATATTTTTTCATCCCATATAAGTAATTTTTTTAAAAGTTATCTTGTGAGTAAAAATAATCCTGTCCATTAAATTCAGGCAAACTATTTCTTAGAAGATGCCTCTGAATGTCAGTAACAATAATAGTAAAAAAAAACTTCAAAGTTATACAGAAGGAATAAATAATTTTACTTGACATTTAAGAATTACATCAATATAGAAAAAAGTATGTTGTTTGACAGTTGACAAGCATGGCTATCTGGCGAAATCAGAACCCACGTTGAAGTGCATAAAATAAATAACCTCTGATATTTAAAGTACTTAAGTTAAACTAAAAATTCTGAAATACAATAGATTTTTTGGTTGAAAGAAATAATTATCAACTGAAAAACAAGTTGATCGGCGCTTTCATTCTAGAGTTATCGTGTCGTGCGTTTTCGGACTTAGTGGTTGGAAACATGGAGAAAAATGTTTGGTACAGCCAATAGGTAGGAACCTCAGTAATTTACCAGACTAAATGCATGAAACTTAAGTATTTATAAACATTATAATATGTATATTGTAGCACACTTTCACTTTTAAATACCTTATGTCAGAACTGTACTTTTTTAATATTTGATGTTTAGTGGACCTTTCCCAATATTGATAATCTCTATTACTCATGCGCAAATTCTATTTCCGCTTAAAATCATCAACAATTCTTCCAAATTATCAGGATGAAAACATTATTTGTCCAACGCCTGCCGATTGCTATTTAGTGAATGCAATGGTTTCTATAATTTGAGGTGGGGGCATTTATTAGAGGAGATATCTACCTGCTGTGAATTACTTCCCCCGGCAGCAATAAATCTCAATAGCCCAAAATACTTACATTTATTTCGGTCTGTAGTTTTGAAAACTGTCCGTAAGTATTAAAAAAGCCTTCGCTATTGCACCACTAAATAATAATAATAGCCTTTATTGCTCAACAGATATAAATCCCTTTACAGAGCAACTTAATAAATTATTAACAATATAAGTAGTAAAGATGACGATAAATAAAGAATTATAAAATAAAAAGTATGATATAAAAAACTGAAAATAAAATAGAATAAAATAAAAAACTCAAGCATTGTCATAATAGTTACAAGGAATTGCTTTAATACTTATCAAACTATCTCTCTAGATATCCGAAGAATTACAGTACAGGTTCAAGTTATTACACATGACTGAGAGATGAGCTTAATAGAATATTTGTTCTGGATCTATTACAGTAAAAAGTTAAGTGATGTCTGTTATTATACTGTGGAACGTTTAAATGAATTTTAGCCAAGATAGCAGGACAGTCAATTAACCCATTCATGATTTTATGTAAACAAGTCAATGAAGCTAGAATTCTCCGAGACGCAAGACTTTCCATGTCAAAACTGTCCAAAAGTAGCTGATAATCAATTCATCTTGGCGGGTAGACACCATTTACTTTGAATGATAAGTATTTCAAAAACTTCCTTTGAACAGATTCAACACTAGTTATATGAACATTATAATAAGGATACCAGTTGAACAGTACTTAAGCTTAGTGCGAATGTATGAATAATATAAAGTCTTTAATGCTCCAATGTCCTTGAACCCACGAAAGTTTCGTATAACAAAACCATACTTTTTTTTTGCGTCAGAAACCTTCATAATAAAACTCAGCCTTGAGTCGAAAGTGACACCCAGATCAGTGATTGAGGAACAACGTGACAATACCAAACCATTAATATTATAATAAAAATCTATAGTTGATCTTTTTCTAGTGTATGTCATCACTTTACACTTCGATGCATTTAACATTAATCTATTTTGCATGCACCAATCTGACACAATATATCTAGGTCCTGCTGAAGCGCTAAACAGTCATACATATCTAGTACATCTTAAAGTCATCTGCATAAATGAGTCTACAAGAGTTTAAACGGTGATCGAGATTATTAATAAATAACAAAAATAGCAATGGTCCAAGGTTAGAACCTTGAGGGACGCCTGATTTTGCAAAGTACACCTGTGACGAATGACCGTTATGAAAGACAAACTGCTGCCTTTCCAGAAGGTATGACATACAGAACCTTATCAAGGTATGAGAAAAGCCAAATTGGTTCAATTTATCAATCAATATCCCATGATCCATTCTGTCAAAAGCCTTTAAGAAATCAGTGTAAATAACATCCACTTGCCTACCTGTATCAACCGCTTCAGATAAGTGCTGAGTTATTACAAGTAAATTACTTTCTGTAGACTTTTTGTTTAAGAAACCATGCTGCGAAGGCGATATTAGGTTGCAGACTGAAGAATATATGTGATAATGGGGTCTATTCTGTAAAAATTCCTTTATATTTGACGGCCTTTAAAAATATTTTCTTCTTTACTTCTGTCATTATTTAAACGGATCTTTAAAATATATTGGAGGACTATCTTAAAGAAATCTGTTTAAATAATGACAGAAGTAAATTAACGAATACAAATATACTTTTAAAGGCCGCCAATATTTTTAAAGGCCGTTAAATATAAAGGAATTTTTACAGAATAGACCCCTATAAATGACAATCTCAAAGATTTTCGATAGATTTGACAGAATAAATAGTTTATTTGTGTCTTATCACCTGATTTAAAAACAGGAATAATTCTTGCCTCTTTCCACCGCTCTGGGAAACTCTCTGATTTTAAAGCTAAATTAAATATTATGTTTAATGGAGAGGCTAGTACATAAATACAATCTTTAACAAAAAATAAGGGGATGTCTTCAAAGCCAGAGGTCATTTTATTGCTTAATTTTTTACTGGCTTGTACGATGTCCGAATCGGTTATATTATTATATCACCATAGAATTGTGATTCAAATAAACTAGCCCTGTCCTGCTGTGGCTCAGATGATGTTACAAAAACACTTTCAAAGAATTTACTATAGTTATCAACTATATCTTTAGGATTCGCAAATGATTTGTCTTCAAGCACCACAGTGCTTGGAATACGTGAACTTTTATTTTTTGAATTAATATATGACCAGAACAAGCGAGAATCAGTTGTTATACTACCCTGGACTTTATTAATGTAAGATTGATGAGCATACTTTATTTGCTGTTTGACTTGTGATCGGATTAGTTTAAAATGTGCTAAGAAACGTCTATTATTTATTCTTTTATATTTTTTAAGATATTTTTTTTTTATTCTTAATATTTCTAATAGTGACGGAATCGAACCATGGAAGGAATTTACGCTTGTAATTCTTGTAAGTAGGAACAACTTGGTCAAAAATTGCGTACATTACCTTGTAAAGCATCGTTTACATCTTTGTATATCAATAAATAATCCCAGTTAATATTCATGAGAGCTTCATATAGTAACGGATAATTGGCACGCTTGAAGTTATATGCTTTTCGTTTTCAATGCGGTTCAAATACATTGGGAACATTAAAAAGATTATTAACTTGCGATATGTAAAGAAGGATGATATGAATCTTCACTGACAATAGAAGGTACATTACGAGTTACATTACAATCAATGTTAGAAAAACCGAAGTAGATAGACTAAGTTACTATCGGCTCACATAGGGAATTCAATGTGTAAGAGTGAGAGGTACATATTCAATGGATAAGAGTGAGACAGACGGTCTGAGAGGAAAACGGGGTAGTGGGGGGATTAAATTTCGTCGAATAGAATTTTTGCGTAGTGGTAAAGCCAAAAGGGCCTTAGCGTATAGCTTCACTGCTATTGGTCCGATTTAAACGGGAAAAACGGCATTATGAAGAGAGCGTGATATAGATTAACATACAAGAGAAAAATCATGCGCAATGACAGGACAAAAGGACCTTAGCGTATATCTCAGCTATCGTTGGTCCGATTTAAATGGGAAAAACGGCATTATGAAGAGAGCGTGATATAGATTAACATACAAGAGAAAAATCATGCGCAGTGACAGGACAAAAGGACCTTAGCGTGTATCTTCACTGCTATTGGTCCGATTTAAACGGGAAAAAGGGGGTTATGTAGAGAGCGTGATATAGATTAACATACAAGAGAAAAATCATGCGCAATGACAGGACAAAAGGACCTTAGCGTGTATCTAAGCTATCGTTGGTCCGATTTAAACGAGGAAAACGGCATTATGAAGATAACTCACTATTGATTGACGTCGAAAAGAATTTTTGCGTAGTGGTAAAGCCAGAAGGGCCTTAGCGTGTATCTCAGCTATCGTTGGTCCGATTTAAACGAGGAAAACGGCATTATGAAGATAACTCAGTATTGATTGACGTACAAGAGAATTTTTTCGTAGAACGAAAAGCCAGAAGGGCCTTAGCGTGTATCACGTGGTCTGATTTAAACGGGAAAAACGACATTACGTAGAGAATGATGAACGTTGAACAGAAAACTCATGTGTAAAGCCAGAAGGGCCTTAGCGATTCAAACGGCTACGTGTAGAGAATGGCATCTAGTTGTCATTTCGCACATGCACATGCGCAGTTCAAGAGTCAGTTGTCGTTTGTCACTTCATATCTTCGTTAATATCGATCGGATTTGAACGTTGAAAATGGTAGATGACAATATCATCTAGATGGCATGTGCACATGTGCAGTTCAAGGGTCAGTTCTCGCTTGTCACTTTATATCTTCGTTTATATCCGTCAGATGTTAATATCCATCATCGTTCACGTGAACTAGCCATATACAAGATGGCGGAGTCAAAAGGACCTGTCAACCGTCAAGGTCAAGTATATCTTCGTTG